GGTTGCAGAGAATCAATGGAGAAGAATAAAGGATGTTTGGCTATGGTGAAAGAGAGGCGTTCTAGGTTTTATATTGCAAGAAGATGTATTCTAATGTTACTTTGTTGGCACAAATACGCCAATACTTGATTTTCAGGTTTTCGTTATTGTTACAAGTAAATAGCCACACGTATATAGTTTATATACGATTTTGATAAGGTTTATTTCTCTGTTCATAACTTTTGTTTGATTTGAGTTTGAAAGTTTCAAGCTTTTATTTGTATCTTTACTGTTTTGTTTCAAACAAATACAAGAAATATTCTGATTCACTCAATCATACTAGCGTCGAGACAGAACATAGAAGCTATTACAGTTTGTAGTTTTTCACTTCGCTGCGCTCTGCAGCATACATTCAAAAAGTAAACAAGAGACGAGACACGAAACCAAAGCGTTTGCGGATAGAATCTTTGTGCTATTTTAAGGATGATTGATCAATTACACAACCTAAATCGACAGAGAAGTTCATGATTTCCTTTGTCAAGAGGGTGAAACAGGTCATCTTGAGCCACGGGAGGACTGATACCTTTTCTCTGACCTTCTCTCGGGGCTTCTTCTTCCATACGGAGAGTAAGACCGATCTCTCCTAGAACTTCTTCCACCACGGGGTGAATAGTCGCGTCTTGGTGACCTGCGGGGTCCATAGTCATCACGGTCATAGTGCCTTCCTCGACTGCTTCGGCCTTCTCGGTCTTTTTACACAACAGAAAAAAGATTACAGAACAGTTAGCAATCTTTTCATATGTTAAGAGACTCAATAATTTGAACACTTACCGTCGTCTCTAGAGTTTTTCAAGCCAAGATAGTGTCCTGGTGTGGGAGTTCTCGGGCGCTTTCTTCGGGACTGAAGATAACACAAAAAGCAGATAAACCTCATGTAATGGACACAACTTTAAGTTACCAAACCCAAAGGAATATTCAAAAGAAACAAGATGCATCCTAGGCTGGAGAACACTTTGACTAATAGTTGTTGATACTCGATAATGTCCTTTGATTAGTTGAGAGTTGAGGCAATATAGTTGCTTATGATTAGTTGAATCAGATCATTTGGAAAAGCTGTTTAAGCTGGCGATTGGATTTGATCAAGCTGTGTTTCACTTAATGATGTTGGGCAATGATGAGTACTCTTATCATCTCTGATTTGTTGCCAACACTAGCTTGACCCAAATATTTTCTGAATGGTCAGAAAACCTCCAAGTTAACAAATAATGATATCAAACTTTATCGTATCGCCACGAAAGTTAGTAGAGGATGAAATTTTTACCCTTTCGACAGTAATGTATCGTCCTTCTAGTACAGACTGGTTGAGATACTTAATGCACCGATCAGCATCTTTAAGGCTATCCATTGTAACAAAGGCAAAGCCACGAGACACACGGGTACGCGGCTCCATTACAAGAAAACACGACGCAACCTACGTAGTTAACAACACGATTAAGAATCAGATGATTCGAAATAGATAGATTAAACTGGCGATATGAGGAAAGAGGATTAAGCTTTAGATGTTTTCCACCTTTCCTTCCTTGGAGAAATGTGCTTCAAGATCCTTATCGGTGACTCTTGTAGATAAGCCAGTCACATAGAGAGTGGTACCAGGGTTCTCAACTTCACTCCTGTTTTTATTCAAATTACGAAAAAACTTAACATTATAAACTATCAATTTAACTACAAACTATAAGACAATGCGAACTCAAACGGAGAAAGAAAGCTTAGAGCTAACCTTCCACGGCTTCTTGACCTCGACCTAGAAAGAGTACAGTTAACNAAAAGATGATTACCACGCAATATTATTCCGGAAAGCTGCATAAGACAACGCTAAACTTAACGCAATAACTAACCTTCCACGGCTTCTTGATGGAGATATGGGCCTCGGGAG